AAAAAATTTTTTGAAAATAATCATTTAAAAAAAATTCCATTAACGTAAATGAATAAAGACAATTTTACTATAAAACTTTTGTATACAACATTTTTTGATATCTTGAATAGTTTTCGAGATATAACAAAAGAAAAAAAGAATTAATTTACATATAAGGGGTGGATTCATCCCTTTAAACCGTTTTTTAGCACCAACTGATAATTTCTAAATTCATCTATTTATGTAACCTCAAAGTGTACCAAGTTTCATTAAAATCAGAATTTGACACTTCGCGAGGTTCCCTTGTTAGTCTTTGATTTATTTTACGAATGTCTACTCATATGTAGATTTCACAATTTTTTCGGGTTGAATCACAAGTAGATCTTGCTGGAACGTTAACAATGCTCTGACACTTTCATCCATCAATGAACACTTTGTATGCTGCGCAGAATATTAATAATCGATCTTGTAATACACTGAAATAATAAAGTTCTTACATCAAATCGACGTTCCACTTTGTAAATGAAGGACGTGTAAAGAGTGTATGCGCCGCAGCGCAGCCGGTACAATAATTAATACAAATTAATCCCTGATAGTTAATCTCTGACGCGGTAATAAACTTTTTAATCGACCGTGAGATATGAGATAGTACACGTCTCTCAATTATACATACACGTCAAGTGCGTGTGCATTGTCGTGTTGAAGATAAATGGTGTCTAGAAAAGCATTATTAAGATATAGGCAGTCTGATAAATCAGCCGATCGAGATTAACTGCAGCCACCGACGATGATGAACGCAATTTTTTTGTCAATGCGCGACATTCTAGACATATCTAAACGGCGTATCTTACTGGAACAGGATTATAGGTCATGATTCTCGACCGATTAGAAGGAAGAAAAGGGACAAGGTGCGAGTGAAACTGCCTTGATCAGAAAGGCGGAACATTACCTCGGAAATTATTTTCGAATTTCACGGTCTGCATATAAAAATCGTTAACGACTTCTTAACCCGAATGTTTCAAGCACTCAACTCTATTCTGGTGCGATAATGTTGCCAATTAGCCTCAGCAAATTTTGACACTTAAATATGTTTGTGACACCGATCCTTCTATTATACATTTTTCTATCTCTTTTCAATCTCGTGTTTATCTAACATCAGCATGTGTCATGTTTGCTGATTAAATACGTTGCTTTCGAAAAACAATAAAATTAATACGAATTAAATGAAACTATCTTCTAATCAGTTACACATATTTCTCGCGTCTAGAAAGCAATTCTCTCGATTAAGATAATATATTGCAAGTGTCCAGTGAATATTCTCGTATATCTTAAATAATAATTGAAAATCTATGGAAAAGAATATCACATATAATGTATTACATTTTGTGTATTATGTTATATTTATTTTATACGTATATTTGTTAGTATAAATTTTCTTTTTTAAACAAAAAATAACTTTATCAGAATGTTGTATTGATTTACTCTGATTGACTCTGTAATAATTTTTATATATAAACAGCGCATCCGTAAATCTGGGAATTGTAAGACGTTAGATTTTAGAATAAACTGCCGTTAGATATCTATGATAGTGCAGGTTCGGTAGTTCAGTAGAGCAGAATCTGACACATTCCAGCGGTAATCTTCATACCTATTTCCCGAGGCAAGAGGAAATACCGCTGATTGATGACGTTGTAATGGTATTTCTTGCGCGGGGCAATAGCCATCGTACATTCGCGGGCGTTTCTTCGTCATTATTTTGACGATCGCGCGGCAAGCGTGCGCGCGAGCAGTGTTTGCACAAAATTGCTCGACTGCCCACCCAAGACGGTCGCAACAGTTTCTCGTGATCCGCCGACCGCGAGAGCAGGTTGCCACTTGCGCAACTGTGCGTGAACTTGACTTTTCGAACGTATATCTCTCGTTCGTCTTCCATAATAGGTACGCGATATTTCCGCAAAGAATCCATTTGCGACCGGACTTCCGGACTGGATGACGTTATGAGGGGGAGATATACAAAAGGCTTCAGTATCGAGCATCAGACTTTTAAATTTCGGATCTGGACTCGAAATTTGCCAGACTCAAGAAAAAAGAAATAAAGTATAAAGTCTATAAATATATTTAATATAATACTACATTAATATTATTCAATATGTTTATAGCATTTTCTAGTATTTTTTAGAATTTAAAAAGTTTATTTCTTAGTTTCAAAAATAATCGATATTAAATTCTTGTTATATATCAAATGCAGGTTTTACTTCTCTTACACTTTTTTGACTTGTTTTGATTTTAAACGTTCTATCTGACATTTCCGTTCCGAGAATATTCTGAAATAATTAATGATTCTATCGAGATAATCTTCTCATAAATTCTACAGAGTTTAACTATACATATATAAAAATGTTTCAAGTTAGAGAGATTATACGCCATGGTAAAAAAAAAAAGAAAGACTGCGTTTATCATCCGGCAAATGGCATAGTAAAACTTTAAGATAGACATAAAATCGACGCTTGTCTATGAAACGTTTCCTGTTTTTTTTTTCGATCTTAAAAATACATAAATACTTCGCATATTGCGAAAGTAAGATCGCAACTTTCTTTTTCAGTACTCAATAAAGAACTTTCTGATCGCGTTATGAATCGTTTAGCTTATGCAAATTGGGATATCGCTTGTTATTATTGTAATAGAAGCGGTTCGATGAACTTAGCAATTTTAACGGGGGCAAACGTTATCTCCTATTGCGTCGTGAATCTCTTTGCATCATTAGTATTCTCGTCATGATAGAAATATGGCGGACAAGGATATATGGACAATTAGTAGTCAGCGTGGTATTACCTTGCCTTGAAAACCAAACTAGAAAAATTGTATATGAACGAAGCCTTGCAATGAAAAATAATGGAATAGTCATACAATAATAACGCAATTACAATTCATTTCAGGGACATTCTATTTTTTTTTTACAATATTACATGTAAAAAAAATTAAGTAGTGTCACTCCGTGAAATTAAATCATATAACGCAATTATCAGTTATTGAAACTGCACATTATTTTTATTCTTTTATACAAAATATTCTTAGAATTAAATAAATAATGTTTATTAACCTTGATCTTAAATGTCAGACTTAAGAATTTCGTTTTACATAACTTTCATTTTTGTTGCCTTAATTTTGATTATCTTCTTTAACACTATAAAGTTTTTAATTAAAACATTACTTCATAAATATTTTATTGAAATAATTTATTGGCGTAAACACTATGCGTAAATATTTTTATATTGGAATAATTTACAAATACAGTTTTATTATAGAAATCGCAAAATCAATTTAATCTTAGAATAAAAGACATTACTGTACATGATTACAATTATTAGGTTGAAAGGATGTACAGTTGAAGACTGTTCTTCGTATCTCTCGTTACGCGATATATCGACGGAAACGATATAGCAAGGCAAAAACCTTTCGCGTTTGCGTGTATAAGAAATAACTGTAAATTATGAGGTAGGTATGGCGTGCATACGCATACGTCTTGTGGGAACGTGCGCGGCATACGTGGATCTTTCATGGGGGGCGCTAGCCAGTATGTAGGTTTAGGTCGAGAATGCATCGATTGTCGTTTTATGTGCCAAACCGACGACGCCTATCCGATAGAATCTCGATTGCTTCGTTAGGATGATTGCGTACAACAGACACGTCTTGATGGAGATTTTAATTTAGCCGCACATCTATGTAGGCACGTATATATCTTTAATTGAAAATTTTACGATAAAAGCATTAGTCACTTTTTAAAATAAGTAAAATTCATTCATTTCATGTCGATCACGAGCATACTAAATCTAGATAGTTTGCAATTGCAATTCATTTCCGTTTAGATTGTCTACGCATGCCATTTCTAGCATTTTCACGTGGCTAAAGGATCGATTTTTTTTCATTGAATTTTTTAATACTGACACCAGCTGCGTTATTCCTGTCCGGAATCGATTGTGTAACTTGACGCTTTCCTATCTCCAACGGATTCTAAGTTTTCTTCCGCACAGACTGAATACAATTCCGCAGAATACAATTAAGTCCGAAGATTAGTCTTAGCGAATAAACCTAACCGCTCTTTCCCAACGCGTTTATCTTGGAGCATCTTGGAGCATCTTGGAGATGCGCTTGATGCATACGGGTGGATTTTCAGTAAATCCTTTGTTTTACACATCGGACTTTTGCATGCGATACGCTCATCGTCTTGTCTGTGCATCTCCCGATTGTTCCACGCAAGATTCCATGAGATACTTTGAGGCCGTGGTAACAGATTGCGTACAGAAACGCGCGTCTCGCGTGGTATGTATCTCAAAAACTGCGCCACGAAATGCTTACACAGAGCAAATTACGGATTATACCGATCACGAGGAACGTTGCACATGCGTGAGAAATTAGCGCATTGCAATCGGCAAATATTTTGCAACGGTAATTAGATTAGATTATTATATCTATCCACTTTATCTATCTATCATATTATATAGAGGAAATACTTGTCATTTTCTTCCGAGTGCTACACATTAAATCTCCATATAGCATTAATGATAACGCAAATGGAGAAAGTCGTAAAGTACCTTCTTGATATATACCGTGATTCAACCGTAAATATAGCATAACTTAATCTCAAATGATTATCAAGCGTAAAACACGATACTCCGGATTAGCTCATTTATATTCGATCACGAGTATAAATGAGTTAAATGTCATTATACGATGTAATACTCTTGCAAAACGCAAGAGCATTGCGGAGAGTCTAATTGGTCTCGGTGACTATCAAGTAAAGAATGATATTGGCTTAGCTCATTTATACTCGTGAACGAGTATAAATGAGCTAAGTGTCATTATACTATAATGTAATACTCTTGCAAAATGCAAGAGCATTTACGGAGCAGTTACGGGGACCCGGCTGATTGGTCGGTCCAGCACAATGAAGGATACCGATTCCATCGCTATATAAGCTTGGATTCTGATTAGACATGATTAAGGCCGGTGCGTATCGCGGGCCAGTGGCACGCATCGCGCCGTCATCGGCATCGCACCGGCGCCGATAAAATTCTCACGTTACGGTACAGTAAAACTACCGCAAGGCCGACAACGTGTTTGCGAATGTGCGCGGCACTTGCTGCACAAAACTTGGCGATGGCCACCGATGGCCGTGGTCTCCATCTGCGTGCGTGCCGTACGGCTATTCACCCGTGCGGCAGCGCGGCGCGGCGGCGGCGGCGGTGGCGGCCGACCTTCTTTTTATCGGACGGATATGGCAATGAGTTAGAGTGATTTTCTCACAGGGAATTATCGCCGCGTCACTGAGGTATGCGCTGGACATAAAAAAAGACGAAGAAACGAGCTAGCACAGAGTTATGTACGCATATGCCTGCCGCATGCGAATCCGATCATCTGCCGCGTCCGTCTTTACCTTATAATCACGCAGCCGCCCGCTTAATTTATGGATCAACTTTAGAACGTGGCGCGATGTAATCTCATGCCTGTCTTCTGTCACAATACGCTCGTTAACGGGGATTTTAATCGAGCACTTCATATCTATTAGGGAGGCCAGAAGCAATTGGTGAGGAATCGGTTAGAGAGAAGAATTCGAATCAGTTGTTATCATACATTTGGGGACACAAATTCAAAGGGCGCAAGATGCTATCACCATCAGCCTCATCGGATTTATTTACGTCATGCCGTTGCACGAAAAGGTCTAATTATAATCTTCCGGCACCTGCGGAAGTAGTCCATTTTGCCACTAATTATCGAGCATGACCAATCAATTTGTATTAATTCTCCTTTGCAGTTCTGAACGTGGCAGGCGGCAAAGCGCCGATGCAGTCCAGCAGCGCGGAGGGCGGAATTCCGCAACGCGCAGTCGACGGAAGCAGCGGCCAGAGATACACGCCGCAAACCTGCACCCTGACGAGGCCCGAGCGTAGACCGTGGTGGTACGTGAACCTGTTGGAACCGTACATGGTGCAGCTGGTGCGACTGGACTTCGGCAAGCCGTGCTGCGGTAAGTAATACCGTATATTTCTTCGCGCTTCGCCGCTTACGAGAATTTACCGTTTTGCGTAATAAATGAACTCTTGCAAATCACAGACGATATATTTCTACACCCTATCGTTCAACATTCAATGAGCTCGTCCAGCGTGTCGCGTGTCCCGTAAAAACATCAACTTCGCAAGTTGAAAACAACTTTGGGCGATCTAAAGTCGCGTTCAAAGAAGGAAATAAAGACGTTAGGTAGGGGATGAAATTTGAAACGTCAAAGCGTGATTTTTGGTGATATTTTGAAATTATTTCATTGTGTATTTTGAATTTCAACTATTATAACTGGTGAAATTACGAAGAATTTATAGATACGGAGAACTTGAGATAATCTGAATACTCTCTGGTAGATTTTAATGCTAAATATAACGATAGACGTGTTAACGTTCGAAAATATTACCCGGTACTGGTCAAAGCAATGATTAAGAGAGCGAACCGCGGAAAATTGGTATTTGTACTGCGGTCTTCAAGCGGCGATTCGCTCTGTTTCCAATTATTGCTCCGAACGAACGGTCGCGAACCATTTCTTTACAGCAGGGCGATTCACGGCGTTAAAAGGTCTGTCATCGAGTCTAAAATATGAAAAAAGTGGCGAACGATCGTAAGAAAGAACGCTATGGCGTCGGTAATTGGACCTTTGCCGTTCATGCCAGTGGTTTACGAGCGCATCAAATCACAGTGTCTATTTTCTTCGCGGTGTCAATCTCGCGGGTATTGAATCCAACGCTCGTTATATGATATTATGTCGTTCGACGGAATAAATCAGTAAAAAAAAGCGACGGTGCAGAAGAGCGTTTTCCGCGCGCTGCAGTTTGCCGCTCCGTTCTGTAACGAGCGTATAAGCTAAACATGCTGATAAGCGTGGATGATAAAGTCTCTCGGTATGAATTGTAATACGAGACTCAGGCTGTCGAGATAGAATTCCCGCGATACCGTAAATATTCCGTCCGTCGTCCGGCACTTTCGTTTCCATAGCGCGTTTTCTCGACTTTCTATCAATAAATAGGCATTACTGGGATAATTACCGGTAACGCACTGCCCGCCAGCGAGATGGTTTCGCGATCGCGAAATTCATCCAACGTTGCCCGCCTACGCTTGAATTATAGTATTTTAGATTGAATTACATTAAACAATTTTGTACAGACCACTTGGAAAGCATATTAATTATATAAATAATTATGGTAATCACTTCTCTCTTTTTCATTTCTCTTCATGTTTTCTAAAATTTGCTATTTATTCAAAAATATACGATATATAATTAGTTTTTTAATACACTCTAATGCTGCAGGAATGTTATCTATTCGAATTTTAATATCGAAAGATTTTCATAAAATAAATCAAGGAAACTTAAACTTCCTAATATTAAATTTATTCTATTTTACCTTATTAAAAAAATGTTAATTCTTATAACTTGCTATTTTACTTTCTATATGTTTTCTATTTGATATATTTTATATTTGCTGCATAATTTATGCAATATTGTGTAGATCGAGATGATGATAATACCATAATGATATTTTATAGTCAACGCTGTGCAACTTTGATACAGACTGTAGTTGATCGCGTTCTCGCGGCAGCGAGATGAATCTCGATGCGGTCCATCCTCAAAGATATCGACGCTTCAGTGAGCAGTCGATCTGAAATCACGATTGTGAACAATCGATCGTTGGGGACTATAGCCAATGATGCTTTCGACGTAAAACAAATGGATCGAGAGTTTCACGCGCGTTCACGGAACCGCAAAAATTCATCTTATATTGTACAAACGATCCGTAAAATACCATCGTAAATTCGCACTTCCTTCCCCTTCCATCGACCCGGTCGAAGGCCCTGCTTGCATGCGAGATCATTTAGAAACTCTTCCACGATGAAAGTGAGAGTCTTTCCACTTTCAATTGTTAGAAAACCATCGCAATACCATCTCCCGCGGTACGCCGCATGCATTTTTCAGCGGTGTCCGAGAAACACGAGCTCAATCATCAATCAACTCGAAGTTATCACGTATATTTAACTCTGAAACTGAATACGTCGTTTTGCTATTTTTCTTTTCCTTAATGATTTAAGTAATATTATATAAATGTAATACGAATATAATATATATAATTTATCATTAATTATTTAATCATTACTGCACAGGAAAAAAACAAATTTCAATCTAGTCGCAACTGATTAGCAACAGGAAGTTTTGCGGATTAATGAAGTTCACACATTTCCGGAATTCCGCAGATTCTATCAGGTGCTTTTCCACTAATAGGCCTCCGCGCAGAGCTGGAAAATTCGCGTTATCGTTTCGAAAGTTCATCCGCTCGGGAGTAACTTTCACCGTTAAACGAGTGATAATAATGGCATTGTCGGTGCTGGACGCGCGCGCAAGGCGGGAGCAAGAAACGAGAATGTTTCGTTGTCCAGGGAAAACACTCTCGGCCGTTCCTTCCTCATAAAGTAAAAGTATTTCCATCTTTTTACGAGGAGATCACCCATCAGCGGTAAATTAGCGAGAACGCCTTAATTTATATGTATCGGAAAGCGATATAAGAGCGATGAATTCGGAATCATGCGAGCGAGACGGCGGAGTGGATGGATTGTTAACGACTTCCGTGTCGCCGCGTTCGCACAAAATTCGCCGGGTAAACCGCACGCCGCGCCGCGCCGCGCCGGAGAGAGATGAATTATTCAAATGCGATAATTGACGATCGGCCTTTTATACGCTCGCGGATGGAGACGCGCGCGAGTTGAATCGCCGTGCAAGGTGGAGAGATGAAACAATAGCCGGCATAATGCAATCCGTTTTAAGCAGCTGTTTAGTTACGGCCCAGCACCGAAGAGAGATACTTGACGATAATTCTCATGCCGGCTCCGCAGTCCGCACGACCGCTCATAATTGAACAGACGGCGCATTACAATTACTTCGGCCTCTCTGCGTGAAAGAGCAGCTTTCACGTTACGCCTCAGCGGCGAAGAAGAATCGATTCGTTCAATTTCGACAATAAACTGCATTATTAACGCTCACGTATACCAGATCTTCATTGCTGTTAATTATCGTAATGCAAATAATGAGCTGAAGAACCAAACAGCATCGGATTTTATTACAGGTGCGCTTGTTAATTTAGTACGATAATTTTTCCTGAAAGATCGAGGAGGCAATAATAATTTTTCTCTTAATTAAGATGAAAAGGAGCTTTGGACGGCGCGTTAAACTTTGATGACGTATGTAGACAGAAAACAAAGTGTCTTACGCACTTGAACTTAATTCACGAGAAACTCTTAATATCAAATGTCAAGCAGTTTTCTATTTAAGTTTTTTTCTTCTTAAAGTTTAAATACGAATGATTAACGTGATTTAATACGATTAGACGAAGTTAGATAAAACGTAATTAATCTCTAATAATTAGAGCACTCGACATTCGTGATTGATAAGCAGACAGCGATCTCTCTCGCTGTCTGCTTATTTTTTTTTTACGCTGCTTGTTTTTTTTTTACGTACGACACCGGTTGGAAGGCGCGAGCGTGCATGTCTCCCGATCCTTTCCCGATACTCGAGTTTCTCCTTTCAACCTCATGTTGCTCCTCACTCATGCGCTACATGTCCACGCACTCATTACAGGCGAGAATAGCGGCTCTCGCGCACGTGTAACAGGAAAGCTCTCGCAACCGTATCGTATACGCGCGTGTCTCTTAACGCGAGCGTTTTACCAGACGGGAGACTGTCGCGCGAGTTCGAGTCCGCGATTCATCATTGCAGGAATGGAACGATGGAAAGTATATAATTGCAGCGGTTTGCAACTCTACGGACGGGCGTCGGCGGGCGGTTGTCCATAGCCGGTCACAGTCGGACTATCATCTGGGTCAGAAGACGTAGCGCGCTCGAGATGATTTTATACCCGTTCAGATACTTATAATCGGCACGCGTTCTACCCTTTAAGCTAAACCGCAAATGAAAGTCTGTATTCAGCCACGGTTCTCGATTTACTTTAATCCGGCAAAATTCATATTAATACAGCTACAATCTATTTAGATATGTACGTCTTCCAAGTATACTTTCCAAGTTTCGTATGATATTTTTTTAATAGATCGTCACTGGATTGTGAGAAAAGTTAGAGTTTGATTGAAAATTAATAATATTTAATTAATCGCAACTTCAAACAACTTCGTTATTATGTCTTGAACTTGTCGCGGCGATTTTAATACTTATTCGAAATTGAATTATGTGTCCAATTTTATGTCCTAGCAGAATTAAAGAATATATATTTGTATGCGGTAATAAAGTAGAGAAAAAAAAATTATATGAAGTGTTTTCATTATATCAATAATGCAATATTTGCTTTTAAAACAATTTGAATTATCAACTATTATAATAGAGTACAGATGTATGGACAGGAAGTAGTTTTAATGAACTGTTTTACATGACATCGTTCGAAAGTCTCATAAAGAGGAATTCTTTAATTTATACATAACTATCAGAGAGCTGCGTGCGATTATTATAGCATTGACACAGATTAAACTAACGTCTCGTATCATAAATGTATGTCATTAATTACATGCATGAGCGCAGGCGACCATTTCTTATAGGGGACTCGATAATTACAGTCATAGGCTTAAGCCCATAATCTTTGGAGTTTTCCTTTAGTGAAACTATACGTTATTCCGGCATGCAAATGACTTTGGATCGCCGTATCTTGCCACGAGATATTTGCACGACGATATTTTTTGATAGATATCTAAGACAGGCATGAGATAAAAATATTACGCGATCGAAGATGCCCGTGAGTTTTAATTAGCAAATCGTTCAACTGGTTTTCAGGCGACGGCAGCCCTGGCACCATCATCGTCCGAGTTGGTAACAATCGACCAGACTTAGGAACGAATCCCGTTTGCAATCAGTTCACCGGATCTCTGGAGGAAGGGCAGCCTCTCTTTTTGCCTTGCAACCCGCCGATGCCCGGAGCTTTCGTCTCCGTGCATCTGGAGGTTTCCGGACCCGCCGATATTCCCGTGCAATTGTCCCTGTGCGAGGCGTTCGTCTATACCGATCAGGTAGATTTAAGTGATTTAACAGTTGTGCAACAACTAGGTCTTACGTCAGAACGGAAATAAATACATTTCTCCCTCTTTCATCGAAGCGATGGTGATTAATTGTGTAAAAAAATAATAATAATAATAAACGCAGGCCTTGCCGATCGAGAGGTGTCCTCAATTCCGGGACCAACCGCCAGGATCAACGGCGACTTACAACGGCAAGTGCTACATATTTTACAATCGCCATCCGCTGATATTCCAGGAAGCTCTAGCTTTCTGTCACGCGCGAGGTGGCACCCTCGTGGATGAGAGCAATCCAGCTCTGCAGGGATTCATTTCCTGGGAACTATGGAGGCGGCACAGGTATATAATTCATATATATATACAGCTAATGTATAGAGATCTATGAAAGTTAATAATAATACGTAAAAAGAAAGATAAAAAGATTATCACGAGTGACGCGAAGAAGTTTTGAAGACATTTTAAAGAAATTTTAAAAATTGACTTCTGAAAATCCGAATTTTATAATTAAAACACAATTGAATAAGTGGAAACTAAAAATATTATATCGAAAAATTTTACCTATTTAAATGATCGTCTGTTTGGAAAATAATAAATGGAAATTTTCTTGATTATTAACGAAGGAGCGACACGTCCAGTCAGTACTGGATGGGCGCAGTTAGGGACCAGAAGGATCGATCGTTGTGGAGGTGGACCGGAAGCGGCGAGGAGGTATCCGTTTCGTTCTGGAGTCTGCCGCATGGTACTGAGGAAAATTGTGCTCGATACGATGGCAGTAGAGGCTGGCTTTGGTCTGATACACCTTGCACAGCCCGGCTTAATTTCATCTGTCAGCATCGTGAGTATCATTTTGCTTGCCATACATTTGCATTCCTACTCTTTAAGCGACACTCCAGAAAAGACATTTTCATGTAGTGTATTTAAAAGCTGTCTTGGCTGTGAGACTCTATGAGAGTCTAACATTTTATGCCGAGCTGAAATTTTTAAACAAATCGCGAGAAAAAATTTTACTGTTCTATCTAATTGTAAGCAGTGACGATCGTGGCGCGAGAGCTGCGTGTCGGCTTTCTATGCCAAAGACCCAGTTTCCACTTAGAATAATACAACTCTAAATCGGTTTTAATCGATTTGGAAGCAATCAGGAAGGTCTTAATAGGCCGTTCAGAACCGGCATTAAAACTGTAGATCGCGTATGCAAAAGAGATCGTCCACGCGCTGACAAGCGTATAATAGCACGTGAAGAATATCTATTGTAAGATTATACAATTAATATTTTTTAAGAAATAGATAATAGTCCAATAAACTTTTAATTGTAATTTGTTGACCAAACGAATTTTTCTGTATGATTTCTTTTAAAGTTATATTTTGTTCTCATTTGAAGTTTTTAATCTATTTATTGCTTGAAACTTTGTTTTTAATATTTTTTAAAAGCACTTCTATTGTGTGCTATTTCATTATTAAAAGACTATTGCTTTATTGAATAGAAGAATAATGACAATACTTTTACATTTTTAGAACCACAGGCTTGTGGCAGACCCGAACAGCCACCAAATTCTACGATGGTGGTGACCAGCGCGTCGGCCAAGACCCCCGGCGTATCCCCCGTATACGAAGTCGGGGCGACCGTGGAGTACAGTTGTAACGTGGGTAGCCTCCTGATCGGACCGTCGACCCGCACTTGCCTAGACACCGGTTTCTACAACGAGTTCCCGCCTGCGTGCAAAAGTAAGGAAACACGATTGTCGGGGGGAACTGTACTCGAATGAAATCATCGCGAACGCGGTTAGCATCGTTATGCGCTCTCGTTGTTTCAGATATCGAGTGCGGCTATCCCGCGAGCATAACGAACGGCGAATACACGCTCATCAATAACACCGTCACTTATCTCAGCCAAGTGCATTATACCTGCTTGGAGGGATACGAGATGACCGGTAAGTATTACAGTCAATCGCGACCTCGTCGTAATTATTCACGGCGCATTTGTGGTAGAGAGCGAACATTTCGTATAAAATCGTCCGTGAGAAATGATTTTAAGCCGATCTCTGCGTCCGCAGGACGTGCCCGATTGACTTGCGACATCGACGAGCGTTGGAATGGACCACCGCCGCGATGCGAGCCGATTGCCTACTGCAATCCACCGACTGTACCGGAACACGGTTCTATCGAGAAGATACAAATTGGCGATCAAGTAGTGGCGAGGAGTAACTACAATCGAAGCCAACTGGCTAGTACCACCGTCAGCTATTTGTGTATTAAAGGCTACCGGCTACTAGGTCCCCGGCAAATATCGTGTCAAAGTTCCGGAACATACGATCGTCCCGCACCTACCTGCACAGGTACTTTTTTTATTCATTTATAATAATAATAAAAGCCAGAGTTTTTTATTATAGATCTTTCAAAAGAAATAAATTTTGAAAAATTATAAAATTGAAACTTTTTTATTTAACTTCTGCAACCTGCAGAAAACAGATTTAATGTAACGACAATTATATATGCTAAAGTTTAACAAACATTCGATAATAATAATTACGTTCGACAAATAATATTTCTAACATTTTCATGGAATTTCAAATAATAAAAATTGAGTGTTATGTCATTCAGTCGTTTATCAAATTACAATAATAAATTATAACAATAAATATTAATACTGCACGGAGAGAATTTTTTTTTTAATTTACCCTGAAAATCATGTTAATTGTGGGACAATATAGTATTTAGGCAAATTTTACTGTGCACTACAATAAATTTTACTGTATTTTACTACTGTAAAATTTATTGTAACGCACAAAATTTGCCTAAATACTATATTGTCCCACAATTAACATGATTTGCAGGGTAAATTAAAAAAAAATTCTCTCCGTGTGTGTTTGCTGAAATTAATTGAGATATTTAGAAAGTAGAATATGTATATCCAACTGTGAACTTTTCTTTAACAGACGAGTCACGGATAACCATTTCTCCTCCTACCCGTACGACGGTACGTTCGTCCACTCCGAAACGAACGTATTACACTACGAAAACTAGGACCACGACGAGTGCGGCGACCACCAGTACGACTTCCTCACCGTCTAGAAATGTACCGAACACCGCGGAGCTGCCAGCGACGGTGAGGGAGACCGTCTCGAAGAGGCCGAGCATCGGTCTGAACAGACCGGCGTCTCCTTCGGTGCTCGACAGTGATCACCCGCAGGATAACGAGATATCCGGAAGCGGTGTGGACCACGCGCAAGCGGGAATCGGTGCGGGCGTACCGGAGCCATCTGGTCCCTTCCGGGTGGACAATGCTGAGCAGCCCAGCGGCACCCATCAGGCCAAATTGAACCTGGGGGCCGTGATCGCCCTGGGAGTGTTCGGCGGTTTTGTGTTCCTCGCCGCCGTGATCACGACGGTCGTTATCCTCATACGCAGGTAAAAAAAAAAAAAGTGACGCGTCGTCGTGCCATTGTTGTGCGATGATTCGACGCCGAGGATCATCGCCCAAGCATCCGCCCCGCGAACCCTTTCTGTTTTCTGATAGTATCATAACGCACTCTGATATACATAGATGACATTTGACCGGATTGTACATTGTATTGCTTAATTACTTTGTATTAATTTGATCTTTCTGTTCTCTACCGCTCTGTCTTCTTCCTAACTTATATTGTAATACATATATGCTGCATAATAATCTGGATCTTTCTCATACAAGATAATTTTGCTTACTCAAACCGCGTGTACATGATTCTCAGAGTCTTGATGTAACAAAAGAGTCTCTAACATCTCGAATAGAACTAGGGATAATAGTACATAATATTAGGGTTAATACTATCGCCCTTTCATTCATTTGATCATAAGCTTTCTGTAATTTAGCCTGTAATTTATCTTAAATGTAGTTTCAAATTATGCTTTGTAAAGGAAACATATTCTCGTTTTCTGATTGATCTATATAATGATTTTCTTTAATGTTATCGTTTACTTACCAATGGTTCTCAACATAAGTCATACGACCATAAAGACTCACGGCTTTTCACATTTAAAAAATGGAACATCGTCAGGGATCATAATAATTGAGTCATACCTTTTGTCAAGTCAAAGATAAGGATAACTGTAGATATAAACAAAAGTGACGTAGCCGTGATCGAAGTAAAGTTGAGAAACAGTGGTGTAAACGCGTCGCAAGACCTAAGATAGTAATGTCAGGGAAACGCGTGAGTCTCGTTGATAGTCTAGTCCGCCACGATGATGATTAACACAGAGTCCATTTGTGTATTGCGGTGGTTAGCGGCAGTGGCAGCGTCAGAGGAAGGCGCCACAGGGGGCTCGGTGGGGTTGGTGCGCTGAGGGGTGGCGGTAGTGGTGGCCTTGGGAGGGGCGACACCGGGATGCCCTCGCGTTGGTATACGCTACTCGCGCTGCCCTTCCCCGACCAGCACCTGGGGCGCCGCGACCTCACGGCACGCCGCGGTAGCGATCATCCTTACTCCTTCACCCTGTCGGCGGCGCATCGCGCCGGCTATTTCTCGAATCCTTCTCTGTAAGACCGCCATCGCCGCCCCTCTCTCTCACTCCCCGCCGTAAAAAAAAAAAGCCAGAGAAAAGAGAGAATCGTGTTCCACTCTAATAAAGCCTACAACCACCACTACCACCCCAACCCTCCACGCAACCAACGCCCACTACATCAATCATCATCACGTACCACCAACCAGCTACCACGCGCCACCCTCGCGAGTGATACTAGTCAAGGTAAACGAGAGCAAGGTTCTCTACTGAACACCTTCTTTAGCGTTAGCTCGTTTCGCCATCATGGCACGCCTTGCAAACTAGAAGATGATTTTGTAGTGCGTTGCACGCGCATTCGGACGCACCAACACATTGTTACAGAGCAGATGAATCTCCGCCGTGTATTCAAGAATTCTAGAAAGTGGTCATATATCCTGCCAATGGCACAAAGGTATCTAAAGGACGTCTAACAGGCGTTTTTTTTTTTATTAAAATAGTTTCAGTATTTTTTCTGGGATTATTTTATTCTCTTCGTTTTATTTCATTGTCGGGAAGAAATCGGCTACAGTATAGAAACGACTGCGGTCTAGAAGTCCTGAGTATCGCGCTGCGCAAAAATCGCGGCGGAAGATATATGTACAGTGCTTCTTACATGTCCTTTTCATGCCTGCAATACTTTTACCTATATTATAATCTCTTTAAAATTATGCTACGCTAGTTAGACATCTGCATTATATATATATACATATATATATATCATGGTACATATAAATATTTTATTATATTAACTATTTGTGCTCAGACAATCGTTTTCTCTTTTCTATCTCTCTATCTTCATTTTGATCGCCAGTAGCTTGAAAATCGCTTCGGGTTATAGTAACAGGAATATTCTGGGCTCTCTTCCGTTAATATATAAAAATGCAATGATCGGATTCGAACTTACTTTTATCCATTAAAAGCATACAAAATGCACCCGTTAAGAATCCGATTCGACTCTTCTCTCATTGCACGTAACGCTTTGCCTATTTGTTTAATTTGCTTTATGCCAATACGTTTTAATACTGCCGAATAAAATAAGTTACTTATAATTACGTAATAACTCAATACGAAAGGAAAAAGTTATTAATGTGTTTATCTTTTATGTAGAAATCGCGGAAGAAGCAGCAAACATTATCGTCACCGTGCATCGCCCGATTGCAATACCGTCGCCAGTTTCGATAGCAGTTCCTCGGAGAGTCGAGGAGGTCTGAATCGGTATTATCGCCAAGCCTGGGAGAATCTGCACGAGACCACCGGTCATAAGGCCGGCCATCCGCCGCTTCGTCGCAAGGAGACCCTGGATGAACCAGGGTACCGGGAGAACTTCCGCGGTAACAACACCGAGCGCGACGGCTCGGAATTGGTCGTCAGTGACGTCGCCGCGTACCCATCGAACAAACACGCCAGCGTCTCCGATAAGAAGCGTCATCATCATCACCATCATCATCATCACGGAAGCGCGACACCCGATTGGAGGCAGTCGCAATCTCATCATAGATACTAAAAAGAGAGCAAACTGTAAAACGGGCGAGAATCTTCGTATGTCTTCACTATGTCATCTGCGATCATCTCTGGTGACGATGAACCGTAGAGTGTATCCGTAGTGAACGTTCGCAACTGTCGCGGGTTTAAAGATCTTCCTTAATCGAGGGAGCACAGCGAATCTTCCATTAACATAAGTTGTTAGATAACATACTTGTTAGATAACGTCTTACAAGAAATAGAGAAAGTAATCCGAATATAGATCCTATTGTTCTGTTACGTTATAAATTATTTACCGTCAGTTTGTTACGAAATGTAAATATTATACTCACTGTAGCTTAAAAATAAGGATGATGGACAGTCGCTCGTCGTAAGGAAGGTAGTAGAAGTTGGTCAGCGGATATGCCAAAAAGCAAAGAAATAATATACAATAACGATCAAACACAGAGATGCAGTAACGTAACGCTTATCGATAAGTTATTGTAAGATCAGGGATTTATGTAACCGTTTACACGTTCGAAAAGATTTGTTTAAGAAGACACTGGATATCGGCAGAATTTACATCTGTTATGGGTACCTTGGCCTCGCTTTAAAAGGATTATTATGTTTCCAGAAAAACAGGATATTGCATATAGATATCATTAAGGGAAGGCCGATGTTATCCATTTAGGAATAGGAATAGGAATCTCGTGTTAACTGTTGTACACGAGTACGAGCTGCACGTTTACTTACACTCAAGTAAATGAGGATTTAAAGGCACAGTACAGCTATATATGAGTGTCGCCCATGATCGCTGATATACTTTCAATATACGCTGCTAGCGAGTTTGTATCATAAGTATGTAACACTTAATTATAATTATTATTAAACATCAAACATTTCTATCAAGCTCATTGAAATTGATATGTATTTAAGAAATAATGTAATTATTTACAATAGACTTTTATTAATTGACTGAGATAATTACATGCGAAGTAACTCTGTAGATGCATTTCCGTGATTCTATTTATCGTAAATAAATTACAATAGTGCCATTTGGGGCAAATTTGTTCGATTTATTGAAGAAGCAATTTTGTCACTTAAACATGGTACATGATAATGGATACTAGCGCATTCGTAAATTGCATATATAAGTATCATTAGATTTAAAATTTCACATTTATATGAAATTAGAATAAACGTATTTATATAAATATACATATGTATATAAACCTTCTTTTATCCTGCACAAAAAAAGTATAATAAAAAACACAGCATAAAATGCAACTATTAATATGAAATTTGATCAAAATTAAAGTTCAAACTAGATAAATTTTTAGTAATGCCGAATACGGTCTGAAGCGGATTAATGCTTAATAATAATTGTGAATCTTAAAATTTCCAGTTAAAGTAAACTGCGCACCGAACATTTGTCGGTCTTAAAATACAGCACCAAACTGAATCGTCTGAATCCGAATATAATATCACAATTTAATTAACAATTTAATAATTTTTTATGCCAACAAGCTTTTTCTTATTAAATCCTATAGAATAATTTACTGCGAAAAATACTAGCCAGGATATGAATCTAGACCTCTCTGTTCTCCGAACTAGTATCTTATTGTCCGACTACCAAAAATTACTAAATTCAAAAATTAAGCATCAATTAAGCATCCGCTTCATTTGGCATCATTGCATTTGGCATTACTAAAAATTTATCTAATTTAATGCAGTCTTCTTAAAATATTTGGAATATTAATAATTGTTCGGAACAATTTCAAAAAATTGGCATTTTTTAACGGCTTGAATATTTATGATATTTACTTATATAATATCACATGTTGAGAGCTTAATTTTGTATCCATTGCTTGATTAGACCTTTTATCTGTATTCTAGCCTCCTTTAGCTGAGGCATATCACGTTCGGATGGAGGATACATGTTTGCACAATGTGCAGTACCTTTAAATAAATTAAGTAATGTAGTTTTAGGAATTACTATATATATATATATAATATAATTATATTATATTTAATATAATATATTATATATATATATATATATATATATATATAATATAATGAAATATTTACAATACATTCGACTTACCTTTGATGTAAATAGCAGGCGCTTGTGGATTGGAAGATTGTATGATGCCGAGCACATGCCAAGGATCGATTGAACCATGCACAAATACTACATTTGTCACTTGTAGTTTTAATGCACCATACAAAATATTCGTTCGTGTGACAGCAGACTCCAATAAGTTCATGTTGTATCTGCAAAAGAACTCTCACGTTACATCAATATTCCATCACAAATAGAATATAATTTATTCAAGTGACAGCAAACCTAGGCCCGAAAATATCGATGCATTGCTGTACAAAAAATTCCACTGGGAAATTATCCCCAAACACTTTAGCCTGTCCAGTGGAGGTTTGGAAGAATCCAAACTCCGTACAAGTCTGATACATCCATTGACGTCCTACAAATATCATTTATGATTTGCTATTAACATCGACCACACATAACAAAGTAATTAAGATATTAAGTGCAATATTAATTTGCAATATGTATTAATTATGCAATATTAATTTGCAATATGCATTAATTATGCAATATTAATTTGCAATATGCATTAATTATACAATATTAGTATGCAATATCATTAATTTAAATGCATTACCTCCTTCCGCTTGCTCGCTAGCCCAGGTGACATTTCGAAGCTCATGAACCATCTTGTCATATCTATAATCTAAACACTTCTCGTTGGTAGCATTCAATATCATGTTGCTTACAGAAGCAAGTCTATCAATAGATTGTCCTATTTTCTCATCTGCTAGTATATCACATACGATCTCAATAGTGATATTAGCGGTTTGAGAGCTTTGACGATTGTCCTTATTGTACTGTACAACGCCAGCAAAGTTACTCGCCAATGTCTCATACAAGTTGGAAATATCTACTCTCTTTGTATGTCCAGGGTCAATTGGGTCACATAATCTGTGAAACACAAGCGACTTGTAGGAAAACACGAGCACTACCACTCGATCGATGTTCCACATCTCGGCAAATGTACTCACTTGAATTTTTTCTCTATTTGTTGTTGGCCAGAAGTATGGTGTAACATTGTATTGATTTGCGAGTTAGCCTCTTGTATTGCACCAACGCACTTCTCCGAATACTCTTTCAAAGCGTTCGTGACAACAATATAGTATTCTGCAATATAAAATGATTGGATATATTGCCCATACATGGCATACTTGTTAAAATTGTATCAATCACAATTACACCACCGGCAAAGTCAATCTGCGCTAGCAGTGGTCCACTAGCAGACACAGCCCCATGTACCAAGTGAGGGTATTTTGCGCGCATCCAAGCGGCCAGAGATCCACCGTACGAGCCTCCGAATACAATCCATTTAGTGTCATTTGAGAATTTGTATCCGATATTAACACTCTCGATAAAGTACGCTAAATCTGCTAGTGCCTGTTCTGAACTCAGGTATACCAAGTTCTTTATGCTGAGATCCCTGCAAGTATTTAGGACATGTTATATTTTTAAAATAATTTTCCCTTTTGCTTCATCTATTTTGTGTCCTACGTACGAAGTGGGGTGGCTTTTCCCATAAAAACGATGCTCTAGGTAGAAACACATTGCTCCAAATTCTTTGGCATACTCAATCCATTGACCCTCTATCATCCATTTCGCATTTGCAATACCTTCAGCACCGATCATTAAAAATATCGGGCCGTTAGGTTTATAAAAATCGGAATTAACAAAGTACCTCTGTAAAGAAGTAACAAATTATATGCAATAGTATAAGATATAAAGCAAAATAGTAAAAGCAAAGCTCAAAGTAATAATGAGAACTTTTTGATGAAATAATAAATGAAATATAATGTATAATATCATATAATATATGAAATTCTATGTCTTGTATTACCTGTTTCCAAGCATGAACATCAGTTGGATTGAAGTGATCGAGATATTGTGTAAACCATTGCTCCTCGGGAAGCAACGTTTCAGAGAGCAAAACTGGCTCTCCTAAATTGCCGCCTTTATTCCGACCTCTCAAGAAAGTACGCCATGCAGTGCTAATGCCCAAAATACTCAATGCAATAGATAGTAATAATAGAAGCCGCATTTTAAGATATATTTTAATTATTTTTAATTTTTTAACACAGAGCTCTGTAAGAAAATATGGGCATGTTTTAGAGAGATTTCAGGATTTGTAAATTAATTGAAAATTAATTAAAAGGTTTGTAAATTAATTAAAAATGAAGTATAACATAAAGAAATGTGATTGCAAACAGATGGAATACTTTTTCCGTCGCAGCACTTTTATATCTTTTACTTGATAATGTCAAAAGAAAGATACATTTTTAAACGTGCAATCGTTATTCATGCAAAATAAATTTATATATTTAAGTATTACACAGATAAATTTATTTTACCTTTCTGTTTAGGTTTAGGTTAAACACAGACTTTAATGCCTTGGACTTTTATAATGCGGCCATAAGTTCTCGTTTCTGAATCTCTCTGGCAGAAATTTCACTGAACATAATACGAGATAAGACTAGCGATGATAAATGAAAAATAAAGATATGTTATTCACAACAATTCGCGAACTTGAGAAAAAAAGATTCGTGTTTACTGTTTACAGCTACACCTCCTGTAGCTACACCTTCTCATCTCTTTTCTTTTTCTCTTTACGACATTTAATTATATGTCTGTCTCCTTTTAAAAGCCGGAAAAGTGTAATGTAGTGCAACTACAAAGAGCACATTTATCTCCAGTTAATGTAACCTTCCTTAGCATCGGTTGGAATTAGCAGAGCAAAAATTTATTTCTTAAAATTTATTGTATTTTTTTATTAAATCTATAGCTTTGTGGTATTTGCATCTTCCACAAATCTTGCAAAATTTCGTTTACCAATCAAAATTATTGACAAATTTCTTTTGAATGAATTCGTCATAGTTTATTCACAAAATTATTAATCTTTCTGCTTACTTTAATTTTATATTAACTACATTTTATTCTATAAACATTTTTATTTTAACAAAGTACATATTTTTTCAAATCTGCAGTAAAATTGATATAATTAGTACAGTGCGATAATGCGTGTTCGTATTTAATGTTCTTTCGAGTGTTAAATTAATTTTATAGGGAGAACAAGAAGTTAATAAAACAGAAAGAAGAATATCAAGGCGAGTATAAATTTCGTTTGATTGAACGTCCGATTTTGTCCAATTTTTTTCTGTAACGAGAAGCGTTCGCTCCAGGAACATCATCCAGGAGAATAATAGGAGATTTTACGAGCGTATCGGGGGCCGAGGCGACAACACTATATTAGCCTCGTGACTCTCGTGAGTTGTCCCGTGAGCGACCGTATGACCACGTGTGACAAATCGACCTGTGGTAGGCATTGTCGTAGGACGTTTCGCGTTCCGCTCGCGTTACGCGAGACGATCGCGTGCGTTTCCGAGAACTCCGGCTGGCTTGTCAGCGGCTCAATTAACGGAATATGCGTGATAACGTGTGGTGCGAAAGGATTCTCTCGGCAGAGCTGCGGCCTGTCGTTCGCCGCTGCGAATGATAAATAGTTTTTATCTTACGGCCGCGGTTAAATATTTATCGCACAAAACAGCAGCGGACGGAACGTTTGATCGGCCGCCGACAAAGTTCCTCGGTACGCTATAAATGCCGCTCGTAACCTCGCTTGGGACTCAGACGAGCTCGGGTGAGTATGAAAACAGTTTGGAGTAATTGGAGCACTCGGGGACTCGCTGACTCCTTAATTACTCGTGTGACTGCTCGCGAAATTCTATATTTAATATCGTCCGTTTGCTTTAGCTGTTTGGGTTTTTTCCTACAGATTAGTGCGACTACGCTGTGCATAAGACAACATGAAGTTCGCGGAGCATCTGTCAGCCCACATTACGCCGGAGTGGCGTAAGCAGTATATTAGCTATGAGGTATAACATTAAATATGAACATTTAAATTTGTTATTTATTAATAGAAAGATAATATGGGCACGAAAAATGGGATTGTAATAACAAACGTCAAGTTTTAAACATTATTGATGGACGTATTTAATTTTAAGTGCTGTCTCTCTGATTTTTTGCAGGAAATGAAAGCGATGCTTTACACAGCGGTGGAAGAAGCACCCTCGGATGAAAGTGTAGAACCAGAAGTGATATCACGCCACTTTGCGTCGTTTGACGAGATGTTTTTTACATTTTGTGATCGCGAATTGAAGAAAATTAATACATTTTATTCAGGTGAGGATGTTCCCCAGCATTAAAATCACCGACTCTTACACTAGCCCTTCTTAAGAAACAGTTAATGCGAACTGTTTATTTATTGCAGAAAAATTGGCAGAAGCCACACGTAAATATGCAGCTTTACAAAGTGAGCTGAAGACTGCAGTTGAATTGCAACAGGGTAGCGGGAAGAACAAAGGAAAGGCCAGCGCGAAGCCGCTCCTACCTCCAAGAAAGCTTAGGGATCTAAAACTTGCATTTTCAGAATTTTATCTTTCCCTGATCCTTCTTCAGAATTATCAGAATCTTAATTACACTGGATTCCGCAAGATTCTCAAGAAACACGACAAGGTATCTTACTACATAATAATTTCATTGTATACTTTTCATCATTTTTCACCTGTTAGTCATACCTTGTGTAATTTCAGAGATTTCAATTATCCCAATAGCATTAGCATCATATCTTTCCTCCCAGTAGTTGCAAAATATTGGTGCAAGAAACAACCGCCATGTATGACACAATACCTATATATTCCCTGTGTATCCAAGTAAATACCAGTAATTTTCCTCGACAGTTTCTATTATTTTACTGTACAGTGATCTTTAATTACTATAACGCGATTATCGAATGCTTCCAGTTACTGTCAGTTGACGCTGGTACAAAATGGAGAGTCGAGTGCGTGGAACCGTCACACTTTCACACATCCAAAGATATAGACAAATTGATTCAGGAAACAGAAGCTTTGGTGACGAACGACCTCGAGGGCGGCGATCGGCAACGGGCTATGAAACGTCTCCGGGTGCCACCGCTTGGCGAGCATCAGAGTCCGTGGACCACCTTCAAAGTTGGCTTATTCTCTGGTAGTTTTATCGTTCTATCTGTCGCAGTTGTCCTCTCAGGTATTGTTGCACTGTCTATCCGGTTATAAAATTATAACATATTTGCAGCTGTGCTATATATAAAATCTCGCTCCCTTTCAGCCGTCTTCCACGACAGCGGGGAGAATCTAAAAATCGCATTTAGACTGTACCGAGGTCCTTTCCTTATTATCGAGTTCTTATTTCTCATTGGAATTAACGTTTACGGATGGAGGTCTTCCGGTGTCAATCACGTTTTGATATTCGAGCTAGACCCACGAAATCATCTTTCGGAGCAGCATCTCATGGAACTGGCCGCAGTTCTCGGAGTCGTCTGGACGCTAAGCTTATTAAGTTTCTTATACAGTGCAAGTCTAAGCATTCCGCCGTACGTGAATCCATTAGTACTCGTCGGCATCATGGTGATCTTTCTAATAAATCCAATTAAGATGTTTCGCCACGAAGCTCGGTTTTGGCTGCTGAAGATCATAGTAAGTACACAATTTGTGTGTACATCTCGCTTGTCATAATACATAATATGAATAAAAAACTGAATATGACTCTTTGCTTTATTTTAGGCACGCGTTTTGATATCACCATTCGCGTACGTCAATTTTGCCGATTTCTGGTTGGCGGATCAGTTCAACAGTTTGGCGACTGCGTTCATGGACTTTCACTTTCTAATATGCTTCTACATTACGAACGGCGGCAATTGGTTGGACGCGGGCGACACTAGACAGTGCATGTCCGGCTCTCTCATTATCAGACCTATTGTAAATTGCTTACCGGCGTGGTTTCGCTTCGCGCAGTGCGTTCGCAGATATCGGGATTCTAAGGAGGCGTTTCCACATTTAGTGAATGCTGGGAAGTATTCCACGACGTTTCTCGTTGTTATAGCCAATACCTTATACAATTATCACGCAGGTATGTTGAAAATTATATTAAAATTACGGTTCTTTTAGTTTAAGTTTTTAATGTGCCAAAAAGAATCAAGAGATGATACTTTCTCTTTAGTGGAATACAATAATAAATGGGAGAATCCGTGGTTGTGGCTGTGGGTGTGTAGCTGCCTTATTAATTCAATATATTCGTACACGTGGGATCTCAAGATGGATTGGGGCCTTTTAGACAGTAATGCCGGAAAAGAAAATCGTTTTCTACGCGAGGAAGTGGTTTACTCGTCAGCCGTAAGTAAACTAATACTTAACGATGTTTAACAGCAAGAAAAAGGAATGTTACATATTACACGTGTGTTTCAGTGGTTTTATTATTTTGCAATAATAGAAGATTTTATACTACGATTTATATGGATTGCGAGTTTTGTCTTCACTGAATGTGGGTATATCTCGAGTGACCTAATGACTTCTATAGTAGCACCTCTCGAGGTCTTCAGGTAAGAACGCTTTTTGCCACTGCTCGGGTTTATTTGAAATTTTCGTTATACGTATCTTTTTGTCCTATTGCAAAATTGTTTTCTAGGCGATTTGTATGGAACTTTTTCCGTTTGGAGAACGAACATTTGAATAACTGCGGTAAATTCCGCGCCGTGCGTGATATCTCGATAGCACCTATAGAAAGCTCCGATCAAACGCAGATTTTACGTATGATGGACGAAGAGAATGGTGTACTTAATAGGGGCAAACGTAAAAGCGGCGGTAAAAAGCAGAGCAATACAAAGGAGGAGAAACGAGCGCTGCTCAAGGAAGAAACTATAGATGTCGATATATCGAATGCCAGTTGAACGATATAGTTCAAGATTTTTGTACGATATTATTTTTAATTTCTTTCAGTACGGAAAGCTTCCGAAGTCTAGTACTTAAAGAAGATAACTCGCTCGCCTTTGTAAATGATACATATCGATTTCGCTAGAAAATAATTATATCCATAATTATTACGATAATTATACGGATAATCATTACGCGTGTTTTTCAGCAGATGATTAGAAAACTAAAATTATTATAGTGCCTTTCGCGCTTCTCTCGTATAAAATACTTTACGATAAATTATAATAATCCAAAAAATAGTCTGCACCAAGAGTCTTCCAATACAAAAACGAACAATTATAGCTTAAATAAATTACTTCAACTACTTCGAATTTTACAGCTTTTAGAAACAGACACATAGAAAAAAAATGTAATGTGTCATACAAAGAGCGCGTGCTTTTGCATGCGAGCTTTATGAATTGTTAATGAATATTTGAGGTCATTTTGCCTGCCATTTAAAGTATGATTTTATTAACTGTATTGTTACCATCACTTTTTCTAAATGCCATTTTTTAATAATAGATAATTGATACCATGAGTAAATACGAATATTGAAAGTAGAGAGAAAGAGGAAATTTTGATTGACAAAAATAGTCTGATGTTACTACGCTCATAACAGAAGTGATACTAAACATGTATTAATACTAGAGAGGCTGTTATAATGTGCTTTTTCACGCATATTGAACATAATTATTGTACTTATATCATGTAGTTATATTGGCCTAAACATGTATGCAGTAACGTAAATCATTTTCTAGTAGCAAAAGAGTAGAATCAAATTTATAAATTTGATACTTAACTTACGAATACTCCGCTACTAATTTGGATAAGTTTTGTACATAAAGTAGTATTGTAATCATTCGACTGTTTTATATGAATATATTGTAAATAATATTCTATTATATTAATTTAGAAGAGAAAAAGTAGGGGCAATATGTTTCCTTTTGTAATAAAGATTATTTAGTATTTCCGATTGTTACATATTTAAAGAAACTGCTCAATGAGATGATAAAAAATTAACATTGTTATATTATACTTATTATTTCAAATTATATGACTATATACCTATATTTGTTACTAATTATTTACATTTGGTGTACCACAAAATAAATAATAATAAAACATTAAATTGGCTAAATACATAAAGCAGCATTTTGTGGAATCTAAGATGAATTTTGTTGTATTAATTGTAATTTTATTTAATATTATTGTATTCGAATAACAATATATTCTAAAAATATACATGATGCGTTACTTTAATAAAAGCAGTGCTTATATTTGTGAAATATTTTAATTGTATTTATTTACTATATATAATAATTGCATTAAAATAAATAGCAATTATAGATTCTAGTTATGTTTTTTTTATAATAAAATTTTGCTGATGAAATAAACAATTTTCATTTTTATGGATATATTTAAAGTCTATGTTTATAAACATATATAGTAAATGTCTTTTATATATAAATTATATATTTATTTCGTTTATAAAATTTACTTACAATTAGTTATATAGACAATATAATGAATGCCAATGTATTTAGAGCATACAAATTTTAGTATTTTATATTTATTATTAGATCCTAGTAATATTTTAGTAAAATTGTAATGATTTTATATAAATCTTTTCTTGTATAAATAATCAGAATTGCCACAACTGCTCGGAATATAAATGTTAAAAATATGAATCAAAAAACGTGAAGTATTTTTATATACAGTTTTTGTAGACAGTAAAATTTCTGACATTCTTATATAAAGTATCTACAAGTAATGCAATGTATACTGCTGTGCATGATAATTTTTTAAATCAAACTATATGTGTATAATTTCGAATATTGCAATACATATACTTCATTTTATAATAAAATGTTTTAATACATATTGTTATACTCCACAGAAACAACACGTTTAACAATTAAAATAAGTAATATTTTACTAATCAATTTACATGCCTTAGTTTTCGTGTTTAGATTTGTAGGTCTTGTGCTGCAGGATAACGAGCAAGCCTAACTTCAGTAGAGCAAATAGCATTTACGACGATGTTACGTAACAAGATAACGTGTAATAACAGCAACAATCGCTTCCTTCTTTGTTCTTCCGTTTTCCCAGAACGACGAATCGTTGAAACTGTTTCTACGCGAATTTTTATACAAACTTACATTGTTTTATACGCAATTAATAGTTAAATAATAAAAAACTGGTATTGCATTTTTAAATAATTCACATCGATCTATTTAAGTCTAATTGTTTAATATTACATATATAGATCACTTTTCATGTATAACTACACAAATTTATTAAGAGTTAAATGGCACCTACAACTATGATATTTATTATTTTTCAAGAAGTAAACTAAATATGTATTACAAATCACATTTAAAAATCGCCATGAAACGTGTTACGCGTCACAGAATTTTTCATTAAGACAATTCATTAAGAATTGTCTCCCTGAAAAATCACGACGTACGTGCTGTCACTCTGAAAGATATAAGTGCAAAAGGATAGTTAAAGCCAGTTAAAGGAAAAATTAGAAGAGTAAAATTAATTCATTAATTATATCTTAATTGACAATTTTAATAAAATGATCCTTATCGTTACATAACATTACGTGTCGGACACAATGATATTATAATAATATATTATTAACTATAGCAATAATCTGACGATGTAACAATTAATGATTGTAACTATGATCAACGTGTCATCATAATGTACGATAACAATCAAATGCAATAGTAATATAATAAGGAAGTGAACATATAATAATATATACTGTACAATTTATCGGCCGCATCAATAACAATCGGCGCACGATTTCTTTTATCGATTAAAACAACAAACTTAGCAGATACGCTGGATCCCCTTAGCTCATCTAAGGATATATGCAACAACCGCGTTCATGCGTGTCCAAAAAGTGACGGATATTCAAGCGAATAAATCCTTCTCCTTTGTCGCTCCTCCGTGCGTTTTCCTACTTAAAACAAGACAAGTACATACTCACGTGCTCTGAGGAGACATAAGAGAATAATCGTAGAGCGAGCGTAAAAAAGAATGGATTTAATAGTCTTGAAAGGGAAAGAGGAGTATGTGTAGTAACAATATATGTATACCTGGGATTACGCTTCTTCGACGTGCATGAACGTAGTTAAATAAAAACGTAGTTAAATAACAGAAAACAAAATGTTCAAAAGACTTGCTCGATATGTGAAGCGACGCTCCAGTTGCTCTTTCCGTTTGCGCAATTATATGTCTAACGATTAATACTAATTGTATATTTACAAATCTCAAACAAGAGCAAAAAGAACGTAAAACCGGAATGGTCCCCGTATGGTTGGCCCGAACCGATGAAATCTTTTCTCTCCGCAGATCTAAACAGATATATATGTATATACATATATCTTTCTCTAAATGTACTTCTCAGTAAAATCTAGGAAGTCTAATCTCGCAGGCTTAGAATATATATGTTAGATCGTGGTCCCCGTTAAACCATGTCTTCTTCTTGACGCGTTCGAGATGCAAGTTTTGTAATTTGTAAAATCCCTTTAAAAGTTTAGCGAATTAAAAACTGGATGCTGCTTCGAGAACTACACAGATAATCCGAGGAGCACGTTGGGCCCCTCTTCTCGATCTTCAATCTCTCCATCTCGTTCGCTCGCATACATTTTATGTTTCGTGTGCCGTAAAGCTATTTATTTAATTGCAATATTAATACGCATAGTAACCGCGGGTGAATCAGACGAATCGAATTTCGCGAGTCAGGCAATTCTTCTTCGATAAAAATTTATCTGTACTTTCGTTGGTTTCAGCGATTCGAATCCCACTAATCCCATTCATCTGCCGCTACTACATCACGAGCTACTCGAGTCACTTAAATCTACAATGTTCGCGGTACAACAAAGAAGGAAATAAGAGCAGTTAGAATGATACATTCATTCTTGATGTGATTACGAAACCAGATATCCTATAATAATGCATATACATACAATGTACATGGATGTGTCGTCGATGTGCATGATAGAACGTATTATTTCTTAGACAGATGTCAAAGACAAATGTTCTGGATCGTTAAATTTATCCGAAACTTGCATGCGTCTGTGAAAAAATTTTATTTTCTAAAACTCGCAATATATTTTTAAATTAAATTTAAAAAAATGTACCAGAACGTTCACCTTGTCAATTCTCAAATGTGATGAATAAGACGCCGTTTCTTACGTTCAATGATCGTGTCATTTCACTTCAAGCGTAGCGCGCGCGCACGTGCGGAAGAATGCAAGATACGCGAAGGAAAAAAAGAAAGGAGATTTAACTGTGATCGGCCGTCGTCGTTTCGTCCCGCGCGATTAATCGTCTCCGAATCATCTTGTCGCCGTTCGCGTTTATTCCACTTTTCAGAACGCCGCGGTAGGAATTCGCCGTGATGGGGAAAGGGCGGGACGTAACATAGCGCGGAATTAAAAGCGCGACCCCGCCGAGGAGCGTGATACTTTCCGCGGCGCCAAGGTGACGAGGCGAAAGAAGAAGGCAGAGAGAGAGAAAGAAGACGAGATGAAAGAAGGTGGAGGCGCGTAAAATCCAGCTGGCAAAAACGAGCAAAGCGAGCGGCCGTTACTTACGCGGCGCGTTCCGTTCTCGGCGCCGTCATTACGGGGCTCTCCTCGCGAGAGCCGAGACGTCGGGCGGCGCCGATCGCGCGCAGAAGATAATCGCGATACCGTGCCGCGCCGGCGGGACGGGTTCTTGCCGCGTCGGCACACGAGCATGGAGAATCTGGATGAATAATAAAACGGAAACGAGACGCGGACACGGCGCGGCTCTCATTTGGGGGAACTGGCCGGCGCGGTGTCAATCGGATGGATTGGTACCGCGCGTGTATATAAATAGGCGGCCGGTATCACCGAGGCTTGAATATCCCGTCCAAGGGGACAGGATTCCCGCGAGTTTCCTGTCCCCGGCTTCATGCCCGTCCCGGTACTGGTCGCCGCGGAAAAAAAAAGTAGTCGGCTCGCTCGTTCGCGATCGTTTGTGGAAACGCGACTGGAGTCGTGCGCCCGGTTTATCGCGTGGCTCCGGGAGCACGTGGAGCAAATACGCGATGGACGGAGCCGTGCAAGGCCGATAAGCGCCAGATAAGAATAGCGCGCACGCAAATAATCCGTTGGTCCGCGCGATAATTATCAGAAATGGGCCAAGCCTGAAATACATACTTGATTTTACATACGACGGTTCTGATAATAAAACAGTCCCTATAGCATATATTTTATAAAAGTCTCGTGAGATGTTTTAGATAAACGAGCGAGGACAAACTTTTCTTTTAGATGGTAACACGTGGCACACACGTTTACTTTTTTTTAACTCTTTATGGTTCCGATTAATTAATTTCAAGAAATATCAAAATCAATGTTAATTTACTTCAATTTTAATGTTATCAACGCTAATTGATGATATGCCATGCAATCAAGTTTTATTTTTGATAAATTTTGATGTAGCCTGTCAATTTTACGATTCAACAGATTCAGATTCTAGCAAAAGGAAACTTATTCTCAGCGACAGTGAACTTTCTCCCGATCTCCTTCGTTCGTCATAATTACGCAGCGGGATTCTCGGAAGGAAGTAAATCGGAGTATTAATCGAAATATTTACAGAGGACATTCATAATTTCTGCGAAACTTGCAGTCGCGAGTTTTTCATATTCTCACGTACCGATCATCTCTTTCGGCGGATAATAAAGCATACACGTCGCGCTGCATAATGCAATCTCCGTAATCCTTTCCTCCGCACGCAAACAGAATCGACGAAATGAATCTACGTTTTACAGCCCCGCGCTTTCAATTTTAGTCGAAGAGATCGGGCGTTCTATCAACACGAGACGACTCGCAAGAACAGATCTCGCTTGCAGAACTGCGTCCATATCCTAAAACTTACGTCGTAGACTCTTGAGCTACCGTGTACAGATTGCGACAGGACGGAATAATGCATTCAAGCGGTTTTACGGTGTTTATAGTAACTTGATATGGTTCTTGCGCCTTTTCTGCCTGGTCTATATAAAAAAAAAGCGACGCGCGCGATAAGATTCCCGCAGGAAGTAGGTCGTACCTAGGAAATCGACCGAGTTTCATTCTTCGAAATTTTCAATCGCGACGATGCGGTTCAATGAATATGAAATAAGAAGAAACTTGCTTCGTATGATGAAAGAGCTTTATAAATCCTGTTCAATTAAAACAAAAAGTTAAGGACAGGGAAATAGAATGTACATAAGTAGATAAGTCACGAAATTTGAGGATTAGAAACTTAGTTCCACGAAGAATGAATCTCTATCTATTCCTTTTTGTATGACTTGTTCCTGACAGGAAAAATACTGTTTTCACATTGTAGACCCACATTGATATCTCACGTGCTTCTCTCGCAAGAAAAGAAAGGCGAGGAGCTCCCGATTGCCAACGTGACCGATAACGACATTCCTCGATCAAGAATGCCGTTTCTCGATGTATGATGATTGTTTTCACAGTGACGATTGTCTCTCTTTTTTTTAAAGGATAGAGTATTATAAATTCAAAGAAAAATAGTATATTATCCTCGAATAAATATGATCAATTTTTGTTGAAACTCGTCTCATTATATGTAGTTACAAACTACATATGTATCTCATATGCGTTTTCATATAGTATTCTTTACAAATTATAATCGACTATATATTTTTAACGAAAAAATTTGTGTCGATTTATAAAAATTATTACATTGACGAAACCGGGATCGGAATGTATTTCTTCATATTAACGGCACAATTGTCGCATAAAAGATTTAAGAGCCTAATAGAATAGCAAATTTTTCTTATTATTTAATAAAATCACGGGATTGAAAAAAAATGCATGGAAACATTTAATGTTTCTTCTAAAATGTAATAATTCTACAGAAAAAGCAAAAATGCTTCTGACATTCTTTGATTCTTTTTCTCGATATGCGATGGCGGCAATCGCCGGGATATTTCGGTACACTATAAATATGTGATACAAACTGAATAATTATATGGTTGTGCCATATTTTTTTTTTTAAATACGCGTCTTGCATAAGAACTACGCATAACAAAATGCACTTTTTTGCCTCCGTGCCGCGCGTTATTTTCGTAACCGCTATGAACGCGATGATGAGGTCTCATATTAATTGTAAGAACGCGAATGGAGAATCAGGGTAATTTCTCATCATAGCGTTGATTTGACAGTTTCGAGTAACGACGGTGGAAATTCCACGTTCCTAGTAGCACGAGAGCGAATTTTACAATTTTTACATCGCCACGCATTCCTTAGCATCATCAAGTATTGATAAGTGTATGATTACTTATCCATCACCGACTCATTCTGGTTCCGTTGAGAGAGGTGGAATCCAGATTTCAGCCTGGAGAGACGCATTACACTCGGCGTTACCTTGAAGAAAGGCGTCCGCAAGATGAAGTCGGCGCCCGGCATCTCCACTTCATCGTGGAAGTCGCAGGCATACCCATCGTCTTCTTGAGGTCGCGCTTCAACCTTGATCCCTCGTGACCAAACGCGATTCCACGTCATTCCGGAGGCAGCGTCGATCTGCCGCCGGGAACACACTTTCCTCGCCTGCGTCGTCGACCGGGGAAGAGTGCCGCGACTGCTCATGTATCTCGGCGCGATTCTATCTCAGGATAGAAGGACTGATGAGTGAAAACGAGGGGATGACAGACGGAAGATCTTGGCGGACACAGCGGAGGAAAAAAAGGTACTATCGCGAAATCGATCGATTGGATCTTCCGGCCGTCGTCTCGATTCCCCCGTCGACGAGACGAGAAAGCGACGCGGAAGCGAGGACTTTTAAGAAGGAACGACTACGTCGACTACGCCGATCGTCGCTCACAGATGCGTGATGATGATCTCGTCGTCGAGATCGTCCTTCTCGTCGTCGGTTTCCTCCGGCTGATTTGCCTCGGCGGCCGCCTGGGCAGCCTTCGGGTCCTCGGCGAGCGCTTTGAGCCGCCGTTGCTTGCGTCTGTGCAGCAGTTCGACGACGATGTAGCCCGAGGTGCCGGTGATCAGTACCGTCAGCATCACGTACAGCTTCATACGGGCGCAGAGGTGCGTGCTGTAGGCATAGGCGATCACGAAGCCGGCGCTCTCCCACAGTCTGTAGTTCGAAAAGGCTGCTTCTTTGTTACGCCTAAACAGCGTGCCGTACAGTCCTGTAAGAATCAGTAAAATGAGCAATTGTCGCAGTGATCTGAATAGCGAGAAAAATTTAAAAATGATTTAGCAATTAAGATTTAAAAAAAAATGAAATTGAAAAGGAATAAAATTAAGCTTTGGTATTAGGATCGATTTTTCCGATTATATTAACGATCTTTAAAACAAATTTAAAAAAATAAAAACTTATTCAGAAAACCTCCCCTCTCCTTCTCTCTTGTCTCTATCTATCCATCTATCTACTTATCTATCTGTTCATTAAAAAACCCCTGATTCGCGCGCTTAACTGAAACAATAAACGACTTAAACGATCTCATTTGTTACGAGTTAACTTGGCAAGTGCTTTTATAGGATCCGCGGCTACGAATAGGTGCATCCAGGTATGCACGTGTACGCACCGAGGTCAAATGTTTTACGTTCATCGTCGCTATACGCGTTTGACGGCGAAATAACGAGCCCACAGGTGGATCGAATCCTTGACTCGTCGGCGCTCGTTAGATGCGCTTTCAGAAAGCACGTAACAGCGATAATGATAGCGCTGCCGGTGATGCACGATGCCGCGTTAGGGAAATAATGATCCAAATGGAAGCGGGAAATCCGTGGGAAAGAATATATATGAGAGTGTACATTAGTCTATTATGACGATAGCCTTAATCGCTAAAAGGTTTATTAAGTTAAAAAAAACGTGTTTTATTATTATTATTATTATTATTATTATTATTCTAATTTATTATTCTAACACAAAAAGCTTCGTTCGAAGAAAAAATTGTTCCAAGAAAATTTCCGTTTTATATCGATTATTGTAATTTCTGAGATTTTTCTGCGACACTTTTTAGAGACATCTCTAGATTTTTAGATAATGACATTGTTCATTATTTAGCATGTTAAAATTAAGAGTTCTCACGGTGCGCATGATACGCGTAATTAACTAACAAAACCGGATGCGAAGCAAGAACAGCTGTTTATATTATACGTTTTTGTATACACGTAGAATAGATTGCATATCGGTTTCTGCAAAATCTCGCGACGCGACTCGAACAGATCGGTGTAGAACAATTAATCTCGCAAGAATTACGCCAAGGCAAAGAAAAACAAACGCGTGCCTCGCTTTCCGGACGTAGGTCTTGTGCAGAAACTCTAATTACATACAAAGACAAAACCTGCTGTGCATGAAATTGTCGTGTGCCATTCTATTGTTTATTATACAAACAAACCACATTTGAGGATCATGAGGATGCAAGCGAAAATTGAATCAAAATTGTTAAAACATCGTGTCATTGCTCGATTTTTTTGGCAAGTAAAAGGGGACATAATTATTTTTATCCAACAAGCCTAAAAATTTTCAATTTATAATTTCTATGTGGAAATATTTCTTTTTGTTAATCGCATCATGACGATGTCGAGACAGACAATGAGTACGGAGTATGAAATAAAATGTATTAAAAAAAAAATTAAATTTTAGAGTTATACATATGAGAAATAATACAGTATTAAATATTTTTATACTAGAATCTCCGTCTAATTTTAGATATGATCAACAAAGGACGAAATAATCGTCTTCCGCTGACACGTAATAAGTCTGGCTATTTACTCAAGTTCACGTGAGCAAATTTTTTTGTAACAAGAAAGTACAAAGACATCTTATACGTTTTTATCGAGAGTATAAAGACGCCGATACTATTATATTAAAAAAATAAATAGCATGTAGCCATCGCATTTAGAATGTTTTACACGTCACAAAATAGACGTTCGAAATTGCGAAAATTGTCTTCTTTAAACTCTCCTGGGGATTTGTCTTGGGAAGCACTCTCATTAATCGTACGTCGTTTATTAATTCAACCGATTATATGACGGCGATATGTGTAAACACTAAACCGTAAAGAAAATTACGTTATTATCGATCCAAGACGATAATTATAGAAGTAATTTAACTGCTCGTTAATCCGCAATTTACTTCCTTCTGCTTGATTCTTTTTTACAAATTACGTCATTGAATGATTCCATCAGTGGCGAGTAATCGTTAAAGGAAGGGGGAAGGGAGATACTTTTTACGGATGATATTCGTTTGAAAAATCGTCATTTACATGATGTAAAATATCAAAGCCTGGGTTTATGGGTGGGTTTATGTGTGGCTCCTGTGAACTCAACGACGATAAAAAATCCGTCTGTTCTCTTTTTTTTTGTTATTTCGGACTGGGTCGATCAGTGACCCTAACTCTCAGCAGGAATGTTAATATTGATGAGAAGCGATATATCTCCAGATAAATATTACTTGTCGTGAATGCATTAAGGACGCCCGTCAAGTGTCCGTCTGATCTATCAATATCCGTGTATTGACTGCGAGTAACTAAATACAAAATGTAGCTTGTAAATCTTGATGGGATCGATGGCTTACAATCAAAATTCATGGATCAGGTTTTCGAAGATGGACTACTGGAATTAACCCATACGTTCAAGATGACTCGTTATCTCTCTAGCCATATTACGAAATTCAATTAATAGTGAATATTTTTTTTAGTTTTGCAATACAACGATATTGCTTCATTATATTCGATTGTGCAAACAGTAGAACGTCATTGGACTTTCCTTATAGTCCGATATTGAATACTAAATAATCATTTTTGTTCACTGACTTGACGCAATATGTTGTCTAGTTTATTGCATTCAATTCTGCGGGCCATCCCAAGTAGCAAGATGACGTCAAATGAAGTTTCAATAATATCTTATTGACGTCATTCGACATCACTTTGCTATTTGTGATGGCTAACATACAACAAATAATATTTTTGACTAATATTTATTAATATATCAAAAGTTCTGTAAAACAGTTCTGTAAAATTTTTCTAATCAGAGCAGTTTTTTTTCTGATACCTATACGTATAAAAATTTTACGCCTTTCCTTATCTGCCAATATTTTAACTGACATTGACATGTAAAATGAGATAAACACTCACCGTTAACCTGCGTCTGCCACACGGCATCGCCCACACCCCACAATCCTGAGACCGAGAAAAAGACATAGGGATTTTCAGGATGTGGTTTCCACATGAGGAGGACGACCACAAGAGAGGCGTGAACGATGGCGCCCAACGCCATCAGTGGCTGTCTGCCGACAAATTTCATTATCGAGCCAAATAACAAAGAGCAGCCGGCATTGACCACCCCGAAGCAGATCATGACGTAGCCGACCCTGTGGACACCCAGGGCGCAAGAGATGTATGCCTAGAAAACAGACACAAAGGATTCAATTTAACGTCTTTCCTTTTTTTAATTCGTTAAAGACAGTCTATGATCTTCTGAGTTCGAACGTTGCAAAGATTTCTAATATATTAGCTAAATAGTTGAAATATAATACACTTAGAAGTATAAAAAAAATTGCATAAAAATGACTTTTAACTTTCTATTAAATGCGAACAATAACGGAATTAATTATTTTTGTTACTTTAAACTTTTCTATCAAAATTTTTTATATAACAAAGCAAAAATAAATAAATTATATTATTATATGATATTGAGCGACATTTTTATAAGAGTTAATAATGATCTACAAAAACATCATGATTTTTAAAAACTCCTCTTTTTCTTTCTTTCTAGTATATAAAAAAATATTGCTAATATAAACATGGCGACGTTATACGTCGAAAACTTGTATAACATAGGCTAAACCGCAATATTCGCGAGATGTAATCAGTCTCTTTCATTTTTGTTGCTTTCACATACACACAGCCATTTACAGGATTTATATGTACGAGGCATATTCGGAAAGTAAGCTAGGTTACAATATTTTACAAAAATAAAAAAATGAATATTTATTAATAATATTTATTAATAAAACTTATATGACATATTACACAAGTAAAGCACTGTTTTTCCACGTAATCGCCATTTCGTTCCAAGCATTTGGTGAGCAACTTTTCTATTGTATCGTGGTATCAATATTTGTATTCCTGTTACATATATGTCTCGTATGTTCGATTTTCAAAACACGGACGATTGTTGATTGATATGAATAGCACGCTATTAAGAGTAAAAGAATATTACAAGTAAGAGAATACTATAAATCTTTTCTTTCCCATATACATACGCCCCTTGTTCTGAAGGAAGCTAATGTCAATCTGCCTTAGTGCCTATCTGCATTTAGCAGCAATTATAATCCCATCAATCAGTTGCTGACATAATGAGACGACAGGCAGATCCAGCTTGAACTTTTTTAACTTGAGGTTTTTTTTAATGTATCTTTATCTCCATCTAAATTCATTATGACGTAAAATCCTGAGGATATATTATAAAGAGAGTTCGAAACTCAGACACACGCGTCCTTGAATCTTTGAGAGCATTACAAGGATACTCGTTTTCAAAACTATTATACTGTTAAGACTATATGATCGTATCTAATATATTATTTTTGCTAAAAACAAAGAATAATAATCGAGAATTCTATGTTAAAAATAAAAATATATTTCGGAGTAAATTATTATAAAAAAGAAGCGGTAGCATTGAGCGAGTTAATATTTGGAGCTAAATACTCACGCCAAAAATAGTTGACGCAAAAAGATGATAACTTCAAGAATAATTATAGCGTCATACTAACTATTAAACATCGACTTATCATTAATCGTAAAGCGGATAAAATTTATTTTTTAACCTGCACAAGATACTTATTTGCCAACTCTAAATGTACGGCATCAAACATTTCGTTAAATATTTTATTTTGTGTGTACGTTATATTTCGTTGTTAATGTCCAGGTATCATTTGACATAAAATATATCACGGAGTTTTAAAGCTGATAAACAACTAGTGGCAGAGATTATAGGTTTTCAAAAATTAAATGTAAGGTAGCGTTATAAAAATCTTTGTCGCGTGATTATCTTTCGCAATATGCAGTCATCGTACCTTCTCGAGCGCCTTAAGCTGCCAAATATAGCTAATCTCGAACGAGACATTCCTTCAATTACCTACAATTCGCAACGCTATCTCGAATAACAGAAGGCGCATTAAAGCTCATTTACCGCGCGATCATTCCGGGCCGATCGTTAACGCGTAAATGCCCACTTAAAGGCGCAGGACGCCCTTCATAATCTCAGAGCCAGAATTTTTACGGCGGGGTCGCAGCCACGCCGAAGGACATTTAAAACGTCTTACGGCCAAGCGGTGATTCAACGTTTAATCGAACACGCCGTCATTTTGGACGTCACGGCCGCATTATTGCACAAAATAACGATTCTTCAATCCTTCCTGTGTTATATTAACATGTGGATTGTATAATCTCAGGTAGATGTTAAGGATTGAAATGATTTATTTATAATAACCGCGCGTAATAGCCGCCGTAACCTTTTATACTGTGTACGAAAATTCTTTTGCCTTTGCAGCAGTATTTTCAATGTAAGAACTCAACACGGAACACATTACATTGATAGATTAAGACGATCTTTTTTTTTTTAAATTAATTTATCTGCATTCGAGCATTTCCTTTTCCATGTAAATCATAAATGTCATATTATATCATTTATGCAGATTCTCAAGGTGAGCAACATCTTAGTAAAATTGTTTAATAAGTAAAAAAATTTAGTAAAAAAAGATGCGATTGATAAATTCATTATTCTATACAGTAATAAAGTTAAATCGGCAAATTATTCCTTCTAAAGTGGATATGTGGCTATTGTTAATTTATTCATCCACATAAAATTTTAAGCAAGACTTTTTACCAATGTTTTAAAAAATCAAAATGGAAGAGTCAGGAGAGCTTGCATTTAATTAACTCTTCGTGTCAAACGAATTAAAAGTCCTTTCAAATCGAGCAGCATGCAGTTTCATTGAACTCGAAATGTATCGCATTCTTTTATCATTTCTGTGCAATTCTCCACCGAACGACATCCGCGAACGTTTGAATGGGTTTGTGTGCCCCGAGGCGTTCACGAGATCGAACCGGAGCGAGCGGCGGCTGCGACACGTGCACGTACCGGTACATGTGTGGCGCGTAATGGAATACTGGTACACGAGATTCCAGATATGGAAGCGGTATCGCCGGATCGGCGCAAGAATAAGTTCGCGGGGCTATTTATAACAGGTCCAGCGCCACAGCTGACTCAGCGGAGCCTGTAACCACCTCACGTTCTCCTCATTTCTTTTTCTTCCTCTTTCTCTCTCTCTCTCTCTCTCCGTCTCGTTTTCCCTCGAGGATTTAATTGTCCAATTATCCGGCTCTCCGAGTCGAAGACGTCGTACGACCTGTCGGCGAACCAATTTCGAACGAGTTGCGACTCGCGAACCGGAGGCTGTTTTTGCCATAATGCAGGGTCGCTCAATAATGAGGGGGTTCACCTGAGGCGCGACCTTCCTCGATTAATTCCAGTCCTTACGTGAGACTCAGATTCTTTTCATGTAATTTCTAGGTACATTGTTAACGAGCAATATGACGGAAATCTGACTGTTCTGTAAAATGTATCTAACCCCTCATGCGAATCTACCTTTACAAAAAAGTATAAATTCACAAAAAGTAATGTATGGAAAATACAACATATTCTGCATTTTAATTTAGAAGCGTAAAATTATCCAGCAACCTGAAGTACCTCATGTTGTCTCGAATATTATTTTCGAAATGTTACAACAACATTTTGCAGAAACAGTATACGTATAGAAAATATCAAATATTATCGAGTGATTATTAGATAACAAAAACAAATTTAAAGAAACGGTTGAAACTCGACAGCGTCCGGAGACAAGAAAAGACTGATCCGTTAAAACCGTACTAGCTTAATCATAATCATAACTGCAAAAAAAATTGACTAACTCGCCGCTGCTCGACGTCGCTCCAAGGCGTGTTTTTGCCGACAGTCGCGGGATACCGTATTTGTAACGTCCGAGAGAAGGTAAAGATACGGGATATCGTTGGGCGGATCGATTACCGGGTAGACAGCATACAAATTACGCAAATCCATCTTTCCAATCGGGAGTGATTAATTTGCGCACGGCCGGTGATTACCGTCGTATCTCTTCTTTCTTTCGCCGCATGCCCGAGAACTTCTTAGAGAGAGACTTTTAATTGCATCTCCCCTATGCTGTGCGTGAACAAGTATCGCGCTACATCCTGTTTTCAAATATCCTCTTGCTTAATGGTGCTTTTGCTCGCGTGTCAGACACACGTATATACATCAGACTAAAATATCTGCTTCAGACTAAATGTCTCTTTCTTATATATCTATTTTTTTTTCTCTCTTCTCTTGTCGCTTTCATGGCAAACATATATCTTAATTGAGGTATATTTACTTTCTAAATCTATCTCGTATAACTATCATGTGACACATTTTATCATTTTTCTCTCTTGCAACGTTCTAATTCATCTTCATTATTATTTTTAGTTAATTACATCTTGATGTATTTTGCTTCATTTTTTCCAATTCTTGTCCTAAAATTTAAAGGAAATTTTTAACTGGATTATTTTAATATTTCCGTTTTATTGAGATTGACCGTACCTATCGCAAAGCTCGGAGATTTTAATGCCCGCACAGCGAGGCGTGCAATGTCTCGTTCTGGTACCTATATTTTAATCTTTTCATGTTCAATGAAAAATATATATCCTATAATATAATTGTTTTGTTAAAAAAAATGCTTCTATACCGCAATAAATCCTTCAATTTCGTTGTTACGTAATCAGATGTCACATATGTTTCCAAATAGTACAAATTTATAAAGCATACAAGTCCCATTAGTAACAGACTTTGTGTGACCCATTAATCAGAATTTTTTATCATACACTTTGCGCTTAAGTCACTTTTCATCATTGATATCAATAAAGTCATCGTTGAAAGAGTTAACGTAAGCCTAATTCTCGCAAATCCCATATCTCTAATCGGCAACACGTGTTTCCGGAGGACGATCGTGCGTCCTCGTGTGGCCGTCACGCATCGAGAAACCGGTGTTCCACATCTCGCGCACGTTCAGCTGATCCAAATCGATCTTTCGTTGTTGATCACTGGCTAGTCGAGGCATAGTGCGCGAAAAGAAATCGAGCGAAAGGCCTCTCGTAGAGAAAAAAATATAAATATACGAGACTCTATCGTGATAATGTTATTTTCTGCATTGCGCAAAAAGATAACAGGTTAAACGTCAAAATATTTTATTATCAATTTTATTTTATGTATCAATGTGTCTACAATGATAATCAAATTAGACGGATTTGATAAAAAGAATTGATCTTCTGACAGAAATTAAAAATCTAGCGTTCTTTATCCAATTGCTTTCCTATTCACAAATAAAGATTCTCGAATAAATTGTAATAGTAAAACATATAAAAAGATGTAAATAGGTCTAGCATGAAATTACATACTTATGACGTCAAGTTTATATATAGATACAAGAGCTAGCTTTTAGAATCTGTCGAACGGAAATTGACAGTTAGTTAGTTTCATAGAAAGTGCCGGAGCAATAAATCGCCTCCGCCTCGGAGGCGACGATTAAAGCAGATTAAAAAATCTAGAAGGATACAACACGTATACACGTCGTCGGCTTCACGATCCTAACCCGTAATTTCCGTACCGAGGAAAAGAAAAGTGTCTACCAGCTTCTATCACGAGTGAGAACTCCTACTATCGACGAAGATAACGAACAACTGTCGTCGCGGCACACGGTAGTTCAAGACCGGATCGAGAAAGACAGAGTCCGGCGCCAGTTAAAGAGCATGCAAAAAGAGAAAATCTACGGGGAGACCGACCGGTTACAGAGCTCGACGACCGACCAGAAGCTTCCATTATGTATATTCTTGTAGACTCGGGTTTCCTCGGAAGTAGGTTATCAGATTCTCCGGATTCGATCGGGATGTGTTCCGAAAACGGCAATTCCTCTCGAATACAAGTGAAGAGACAATTACGTAATTTTAATTATTACATAAACAATGGTCAGGCACCGACTTGAGTGTCTTTATTAAGATGTCCGATTAACAGATCTGCGGTGACAAGAAATAACGTGCGACACGCTCGAATCATTATACTCTAGCTCTGACGTTGCACCGGATGTTCTTTTCGTGTTCTGGCACGGACCACTGACGGACAGCTTTTGTATACCGACACGTGTATATCTCGCAATGAAATATTCCTCCCGCAAGTCGAGATTTTACCGTTCTCGGAGACTGCCGTTCGTCATGACAAATAATTACGTCCGCGCGGCGGTTTACGTTATCGCGGAGCAGCGCCGATAAATCTTAGAGCGCGGTCAGCAACGCCGTAAATACGTGCCGGCTGTACGTGTCCGGGAATAAGAAAGGAACGCTATAAGCGAGAATATGGAACTCCGTTGTTTTTATTCGTCTCTTTTTTTTTGTCTCTTCATCGTCCGTTGACGGCTCGAGTTCGGACTATAATTACAGAGTCAGACCGCGTTGACGTCATTGCACTTCGTTAACGTCGGATCCTGGTACGAAGCCAAGGACGGCCGTTTCCTTATCAATGTCTCGCGAGAACACACGTGGACCCGGGAGGGGCTATAATAAAAGGTCGATACACGGTGCCGTGTAGATTGCAAAATGGAATGCCATTGTTTTACCGGCGGCTGCAGTTTACAATGTGCGCGAAAGGGAGAGACCAGAGTGTCGATACGTCGGCGAGCAATCGAAACTGACATTAGAAAGTATCGTGCATTTTTAACGCATACGAATTCATCTATCGTGATAAAATAATATATGTATAATATTCGTATCCATATACTATTGAATATCTACTACTTAGAACATCGAAAATCAAAATTGTTAATTGTACAAACAATCTATTTCAAGCTTTCAAAAAATTCAACGCTTTTTGCTGATAAAAAAAAATTTTTTTAATGCTAACAAGAAAAACTGATTTTTTACGATTCTTGTGTATAACAAGCATGTATATATCAGAGAGACCATTAAATTAAATTTTTATCAATTATTTTGAATATTATATCGATTATTTCAAAATCTATATATAATATTATATAGTATATTACAAATATAGTATTTATCTTTTCAACAAATCTCATTTAGAAACTGTTTCTCACTAGAAACTATGATTGAGTTTCCAACATTACTGACGTCAACAGATTTAGAAATGTGGAACAGGCTCTACTTAAAATTCGTTTATGCATTTGAAGAGCTCACCTGCGTGAAATCGGCGCCGATGAAAGCCTGCTCCATGCCGATCCATATCGTGATGGGTATCAGCAGTTGCTGGTAAGGCTTCTTCAGCTGGTAAGCCGTAGCAGAGAGCAATTGGATGCCGCTCAATTCTTGGCTGTCCGCTCGTCGTTGCTTCTCGCCATACCTGGAAGACAATTAAGGATTCTATGAACGTTCGGTATGTCCCCTTGAGAAGTCAGTTAAAATATAATCGCTCCGCGTTTTATCGACTTATTTAGCTTATTGAACACAATGTGTTTTCAGCGTCATTACAGATGCAAACGTGCAGAAATAAAGCAAGTGCGCGTTGTAATCGGTCTGATTCCGGGAAGACAAAATTGCGACCGTCCAGCGATTCATCTAATAATACGTTTCAGCGTAATGGAGGAATTCTCATTCACTCGCTTTTCCGTTGTCGGGAAAATCTGTGCAATTTTAATCAATTTTAGATGAATATAGCACAGATATTTACGCGTTTGTTAAAGTCAACACGTATTATATTTATACATTTGTGCCTCTCTCTCTCTCTCTCTCTCTCTGTCTTTCTCTATTAAAATGTCAAATTATTCGAAAATTTATTTCAAGAGATGTCACCTACGTATGCTACCACAGTGGTCCACGCGGTTATATTTTACGTCGAACATAATTTCGATGCACGTAATGCGGTATAAGTCAAGAGTCAGACGAACAAAAGAGCGGGAAACGCGAATGAATCATTGAATGATCGGCTGCCGCTTAGAACGTATGATTTTCCGGCAGACTTTTGCGCCGCTATTCGCAAAGAGGAAGAGCGCGCTCGCTCGGAAGGGGATTAATGACGACCGCGATTAATTATCATCGCGATTGTACCATCCATGTACTTATTCAGTGTCCGTGCAGCGCGAGCCACGCGGAAACGGATTGCGCAATTAGCAAACTTCCACTGGTGTACACTGCCATTGAACAGTGCCGCGTGTTCGAACCGTGTTCATTCATCGTTTTGTGTCACGATTAGACGAACACGAACACCGACTGACGTATGATGCGATTGATATTTTATATTATCCGTAATAAATCAGCGATTTGAGTGAATAATAATTATATTTCATATCTTTCTTATTTAATGCAAAACTTGATTACTCTTTGTCGCAATATTTCTCATAACGATATATCTAAAGAGCAATATTTAATATTTCAAATAATATCCATTGTTTTACGCAAAAAATGCGATCTGCATAAAAGGTTTATTTTTGATACTAATCTGTTAAATGACTGTGTATTTAATTACGTCGGCAACATTCGGCCTCTTAAAAAAAATTCGTCAGCAGCATAGAATTGTATTCCATTAATAAGAGAATGCAATGTAACGTGAGATATGCATATACTTTGTGTCTGGTACTTTTCGTCAAATATAAAGAGGGAAAAAAATCGAAACATTACATTGCATTCTCGTATTGGTCAAAGTGCTAATCTTTAGTAAGATCGCAGTTTGGAAGATTTATGCGCTGTAAAAGTCGCACGCGAAACGGTACTTCGGTCAATGAAAACTTCAAGATTAACTACGCAGCTGAAACTTGCTTTCGTACAACATTTTCACGCGAGAATATTCAATGTCAATAGCAGGTTTAGCATAAAACATTTCTATAAGCTTAAAGAAAATTGATTTTGCCCGTGTAACCTGTTGCATAACATTTCATTCATCAATTTTCTTATCACAAAATAATAAAATTTTCAACTCAATGTATCTAAAATTTATTTTGTATAAGAAATTATATAAAATTTGATTATATATTGCTATAGCAAATATTCTGAAATACAATAAGATCTTAAAAGCTCATGTGTACATCATGGAATTAATGGATGTCGCAGGAATGAGAATCGTTATCGCGTTTTCCGCGGCGCGGCGACATCCAGTATAAACCTGATGCTAAATTTAGTCGACGGATCAAGGTAGACGTAATCCGCCCTGAGAAGTTAGGGCCCGAGGCGGCGTAACGTCCGATACCACGTCGCGTCGTCGCGTCGGTGAGAATTCGCGAAATAAATCTCCTGACGCCGCTAAACGCTCGGCATACGCTCGACAGTAAATGTTCTCCACCCCGGGGGACGGCATTCCTGAGAACACGTTTGCTGGATTTCTGGGCCCGGCCGAAGCCACGGCCATCGTCGGCAGCCGCCGGAGAGCGTGGTACGAATCGACACTTGCGTAAAAACAGGTACACACGTCTCTCTTCAGGCGGAAGGAGACGTCGAGAGGATGTGGAACGACGTGAACTTTGGCGTGCGTAGATCTATCGTAGCGATCTACACGACTGCCCCATATTTCTTTCAAATCGGGTATTAATAGCGCCTAGCAACATATCGGGCAGCCTGACGAGCGATCGTGACGAACGATCGGGACGATCGTTCACCTCGTGCGTATTCGGTTGAAGACGAATTACTGTAGACGTCACGTACGTTTTTTCTTCGTACATTGATCTTTTCGTGATGCCACAAACGATGTGTTTTTATACGCAAATGTTCGCCAAAACAAAGAGAAATCATCATGTGCCTGCTTGAAGCGCGTGAACGCCTCGTCAGGCAAAAGCGATTAATATGATAGCGATTAAATTATACATCTCCCGCGTCACGAATTCCGGGAAAATTCATATTTATTTCCGAGAAGGTTTTCCAGCGATGAAATTGCCTGTCTGACTATTTAATTGACGAGAGGCGCCGTCTTGCAATTTCCACGATTTCTATGTCAGATCTATTGATTTTCATTTCTTTTTTCGTTACTTAAACTTTACACGCAATGTCAATTATTAATTAGTTATTTATTACTTCTTTCGATATTTCAGATCAAGCTCTAATACATGCAAATTAAGAACAAAATTGATCTTCAATTTATCTATAGTAATAACTTCTAAAATAAATAAAGCTATTCTAATTTATTTGTCCTCTGTTTTATTATAATTATTTATAGAATTCTTGTATCTTGCTTGGAAAGATAACAAAGGTAAATTATTTAGAAAAATTGCAGTAAAAATTTTTTAAAGCTATCAAATCCACAACCTCGTGATTATTTTATCACTATCATCAGGAGAAAAGAACCTTCGCCACTAATAATACGGTATAATAACGTCATTGATATTTCCGCGTGAGTTTGCGGCACGCGCATATTTTTTCGATCGTCACGTGCGCCAGCCAGGCGAAGCAGTTACGTCGTTTCCCATCCCGGAAAATCGGTTTGATTTGTACTCGCAATTTTTATCAATTCACGCGATACAATGTCGTTCGAAAATTACAGTCTCTCCTCTCGCCGATCGAACAGAGAGAACAGAGCGAATCGATGCACATTGCAAATTATACATGTTTTGCAAAACCGTCAATTTATGCACGCATAAGTCGCCATGCATTAATCCAGATACATAATTCAAGAACTCGAACAATTTAATGGACTTCAATACCGATCGATCTCAAGGGTTTTCCTCGGTCCGCCCGTAAGAAAGCGCGTTATATTATAGAATGTGTGCTTATCATTATTAATTTTCCTCCTCGCCTTCCTTTCTTTATCGATTATGTGCGATTTTTGTACCCGGCCGCGAAGAAACATTCATATTATACATTTTATCGTAGCCTATAAGAATTTCTTCTCGCGTCTCGCAACCAAAGTTGCATCTTTACGAGCGCATACTTATTTCCGCTGTGCTTTCCAACGTGCACAGACTGAACCGTTATTGGCACAGCCTTGGAAGCAATGCGAAGATAGCGGAGACGTCTCGACCGCGATCTGCGTACGGATCTATAATACACTCGCCTCTTACGCAACACTTCCCCGTAATATGCAGACATCACGGACGAATGCTGTCATTAAGACGAATGACGGTGGGAGGAAAGAGAGCGAGAGATGGACAACGTGCATAACACACGTGCACACACTCAGATCTTTCGACATTTTATGGACAATACGTCCCGAAGAGAAAGTTTAACCGGCGTGACCTTGTTTGACAAACTAGTTCGGACAAAACCGAATCGATTAAATACTCTCTTTCTCTTTCCTTTCGTCACGAATTAAATTTCTTAAATTCGAAAAATATATACGTTATCAGTTATTATCCGTCTGATTGCGAAAAGAAGAGAGATGTTGCGAAATAGTCATGGCAACAAGGCTTATTCCATTATTTATTATTAGTCAATTTGTAACACAAAGATTAAATTGATTTCCCAAGAGAAAATGTACATAACTTACATATTTAGTACATCAACTCTGATAATTTACAACTGCCGCGGTCTCGTTTTGCGGTTTGCCTTCCTCGACAATGCGGCAAATGTTATGCAGGTCAGGATTGTCTTTCTCCTAATGATGTCGCCTGCCAAGTTGCAGCGATGTAGTCACGTTTGCTGCTGTGCGTTAGCAAACTGGCAACTACACTCGCCAAACAGGTTCACTATTTCTTGAATCCGTCAGCATGTCAATGATGCATTTCATTTAGAGGAGATAAGTAAAGAACACCTGTGTTTTAATCATAATTAATCTCGTATATACCACGAGATTATTTTCCTATCTTACAAGAATCAGAATGTACATATATAATAACTGATTTTTCATTACCTCTATAATTTTGTCAAAAAATGTCAAATAAAGGTATATTAATTTTTTTAATATCAATTAGATATTCATAAGACGAGATTTTGAAAAAATTTAATAAAATATTTAAAATAAGTTTCTGCCATTAAATAATGGTATTTTACGCACGCGTATAGAATTTCATCTCTGTCTTTTCCTTATATATAGTCATAAAATAATTTTTCTTTCTAAATATAAACGTTAAATTATTCTACTAATTTAAGAGTTTTCCGAGAACTATCATCGCTAATAACGCTTGTAACGCAATGAGCAGACACGCAACGCGTTTAGAACCGCTGAGCATCGAAGTGGCCTGTACCGGAAATCGAAAGTGAGTCAAGTGTTCTCGACACGCGGTATATTTTATATACACATATATGTCTTTGTTTGGTGTTCGCCGTCTGTCTACGATAGATACGACCGAGAACAAATTAGCGGCATGCATATGCATCGAGCCGACCGGAAAGGGATATATGAGCGAGGGAAACGTCAGTTTTCCTAACTGCACCGGCATTATGCGCGCTGTGTTTCATCGTGGGCGATTATCGAACGGCGGC